TTTGGTATCTTTTTAAATTTTTGATAGTTTAAAGGTTATTTTGTCTGATATTAAAATTGCAACTCCTACCTTCTTTTGTGATCTACTTGCCTGGAAACTCGTTTTCCATCCTTTAACTTTGAGTTTGTGTGCATCCCTTGTAGTGAGATGAGTCTCCTGGATGCAGCAAATAATGAGGCCATAGTTTCTTATCCTGTCCACCATTCTGTGTCTTTTCAGTAATGCATTTAGTCCATTCACATTCAGGCTAATTGTTGAAACGTGGCAGTTTTTCCCCTGTCATGAAGTTCTTATAGAGTTGATGTTTTTCCTGTTTGTTTGATAGCTTTTCTTTGGTTTTGGGGTTGATGCGTGTGTGTTTTCCGTCTTTTCCCCGTACTCTTGTGAAGAATTGTTGTAACGTGGCAGTTCTTCTCCTGTCATGAAGTTCTTATAGAGTTGATGTTTTTTCTATTTATTTGTTATCTTTTCTTTGGTTTTGGGGTTGATTCGTGTGTGTTTTCCGTCTTTTTCCTGTACTATTGTGAAGAATGCTTTTCTTCTGTTTTTAATATTTTCTTAAGTGTTTCTTGTAGAGGTGCTCTGGAGGCAACATAAGTTTTTAGGGATTGGATGTCTGGGAAAGATTTTAATTCTTCCTCACTGGTGAAGCTTAGCTTGACTGGGTAGGTTATTCTTGGTTGAAATTCTTTATCTTTCAGAACTTTGGAGATTGGACTCTAAGATCTTCCAGCCTGAAGGATTTCTGCAGATAAATCTGCTGCTATCCTAATTGGTCTTCCCTGGTAGGTATCTGACATTTTTCTCTTGCTCTCTTTAGGATTTTTTATTTTATACCTACTTCGTTTAGGCGAATTATTATGCATCTAGAAGTTGGTCTTCTCATTTGTTGTCTTGCAGGGATTCTCTGAATCTCGTTTTTGAATTTTTGCATCACTGATGAGATGAGGGAAGTTTTCTTGAATAATTTCATGGAATGTTTGTTCCAGTGTGGTCTCTGTCTCTCTTTCTGCCTCAGGAAGTCCAATTACTCTTAGGTTCGGTCTCTTGAAGTAATTGTTCATCTCTTGAAGGTCTTGTTCTGCCTTTTAAAGCTTCTTTTCTGTGTTTTTGAAGTTTGGGTTAGTTCTATATTTTGGTCTTCAAGCTCTGAGATTCTTTCTTCTGCTTGACGAATTCTGCTTTCCTTGTTTATTTGTTGTTTGTTTCAATCGCTGTATTCTTTACTGCTGTTATTTCAGTTATCAGCTCCTTCCTATTTTCCTCCTTCTCTTCAATTATTTTTATTCTATTAATGTCTTGATGTCTGGATTTGTTGCATGTGACCAGTCATTCTGGGGGCTCTTTGTTGTTTGTGTTTGGAAGTCTGTTTTCTCAGTTTCTTACCTCCCAGGGGTCTGTGTGTGATCTGCATTCTTCCTTTGGTTTTTCTTCATTTGTGCAGATTTTTCCTCCCCACTTTTTCCTCCCTACCCCCGTCTTCTTTAAATCTGTTGTTAAGGGGCAGAGTGGTTGCTTTTACTTGTTTGTTCAATCTCCTATTCTTCCTTATGTATATACTCTGGCTTTGTTCAGTTCTGGAGCTGGATTGTAGGTTGGGGGTGGTATGTGCTTTTTGCAGTTTTGAGATTTAATTAAGGGGGAGTTCTGCAATTCAAAATCGATCTGCAGATTTCAATATCTGCCCACAGGTGTATGGATAATTTGGAACCCACTTCCCGTTGCCTTGTAGTCTGTCCATGCAGTGGGTTATAGGTTACTCCCTGAAAGCAAAATGAGGTTAAAAAAGGGGGGAAAGAATGGATCAGGGAGTGGGGGGAAGAAGGAGGTAGAGAGAGAGTGGAGTAAGAGGAAAACAGACAAATGTACTGACTAACAAATGAAAAAAGACACAAAGACCAAAACAAGTAACAAGATAAACAAAAACAACAACTACAACAAACCAACCAACCACCATACGAAAAAACTAAGACATACAATCATGCAAACATACAAGCTAACAACCTCCTTATTGGTGTGGTATTCCCCTATACAAAGATGTGGTCTAATGAGAAAAAAGAATTTTAAAAATAGAGTAGAATAAAGTCAGTAAACTAACAAAACCAAGGCAAGTATGAAAAAATTATTGATAACAGTAAGAAGAGAGAGGAAACCAAGATGAGTAAGGCAAACAGACAAAGAATAAAAAATTTAAAATTTGGAACCAAGCGCACTCTAAGACTTTTTCTTTAAGTCTAATGTCCTTTCAGCTCTGATTTCTATCTGTCTTTGCAGGCTGGTAGATTTGTTCACAGTTAGGGTCAGTTGCCCATAGCCTGCTGTAGAGGTTGGTTCAATCTGGGCAGCCTCCCAATCTGCCAGTCAGATCCGGCCTGGGTCTATTTAGCAAGGGAGAGGAGCTTCAGTCCTCCCCATTTTGATGTTGTTAACTTGGATTTGGAGCCAGTGGTGCTGATCTCACCACTCCAGCTGATCTCTTTTTCCACTGCAGCTGGAGACTGCCAGGCAATGCAAGCAGGGTCGGCAGAAGTTGGAGGCCGCCCAGGGTGGGAGGGAGCAGGCAATGGTAGTGGCAGTGGCAGCTGCTGCTTCACAGTGCATGAAAGGAGCTCTACAAGCCTGGCTCTGGGTGAGAGGTAGGGAGTGGTAGTAGCAGCAGTGGCAGCAGTGGTAGCAGTTTCATAGAGTGGGGTTGGGAGACACTTCATAGTCTGGAACCGTGGATCCTCTCAGGCAGTGGTAGGGCAATGGTGGTGGCAGCAGTGGCAGCTGAGGCTGCAGTGGCTGAGACAGCTAGGGTGGCTGAGGCAGTGTCCAAGCAGCATGTGAAGAGCAGGCTGCTGACAGTGGGAGCCGCAGCCCCCAGGGGAGACCTAGAGTCTTTATGTGTGTTCTCTTTCACAGAAGGTCTCACAGACCAAACTGCCCCGTCTCTATCTCGCTGGAGGTCTTCTTCTGTGTTGATTTTTACCTGACAACTTTTACGTGCTCTGATATAGTTTGGTAGCTGGCCTCATGGATGTATCTGTTAGGGTTGGTGAGAAGAATGATTCTGTGCAGGATGTGTAGGGGGATGTGGGTAGCATCCTTCTGTGGCTCAAGCCATGCTTGCATCTGTGCTCATTGTGTTGTGTGTGGCTGCTCCACCCACCCATGGATCCCTGCAGCAGAATCAGACTCTCCAACTCTTCTTCAGGGCCCAGATCACCCAATGCATCAGACTCCCTTTTCATTCTGTAGGAATGCAAGAAGTCATCAGATCTAACTGGGCATTTGGACATTCACATTGGAAATATAGGTTACAATCCAGAGTTTTCTGGTGTGTAGTGGCCTCCTCTCGTCCATAAAGGCTCATGTTGGGGACAGTGACCAGCTTATATGGAGTTCCCTTAGATGGAAAAATATTCTGAGCTGGATAAATGCTTACTCAGAGGATCTGGAAGGATGTGAGGGAGGCAACACTGGGCGAAGGAGACACTGGCCTGCAATGTGGATACAACTGAGGTCTTAGCATCCATGTAGGTAGATCAGGGGCTGGAAGGCCCCCTTATGAGGAAGGGCCTTGGGCTCTTGGAATCACACAGACCTCAAACCCAAACTCTCTGAGAAGGGCCCTAAACTAAGGAGGTAAATATTCTGTAACTCACGGTGCTTGCCAGTGAGGTCACAGGTCTGAGATGTCAGAAGTTCTCAGCTGGACTGTACCAGTCACCTTGAAGAGGAATCTGGGTGAATCCCAAAGTGATCTCCTTTGGCTTTCCCTTTTCAGAGTCACAGGTCACCATGGTGGCAGAGATGAGCAGTTCTGAGGACTGATGCAGACATTTGGCCTAAGGTGACACTGTCAGCTCCAATTGACCACCCAGGGACAAGATCACTGATGGACTTACCTCTCTGTGTCCTCATGCTTAGGCCCTCATTCTCTAACTTACATAACAGATCAGATAAATCTGATCCTTCTGGGCATTCTCTATGCCTGACCCTTGCTGTGCTGTGCCTTCCTGGAGGGCTGGAGAGAAGGACAGGCTGGTAGTGTGTGTTCTGCATGAACTGAGTCAGCCCTACTAATGGCTCTGTCCACAGACCTCCTGGGTTGGAGGAAAATAGTGACACAAATGGGGAAGAGTTTATATCTCAATTTCCCACGTACCAGTGTCACTGTGAGCCTTGCCACCATCCCGCACCTGACAGTAATAATCAGCCTCATCCCTGCCTAGGCCCCACTGATGGTCAGGGTGGCCATGCTCTCTGAGTTGGAGCCAGAGAATCACTCAGGGATCCCTGAGGGCTGCTTGCTATCTTCATAGATGACCAGCATAGGGGTCTGACCTGGCTTCTGCTAGTACCAGTAAACATCTTTACTTCCAGTGTTGTTTCCCTTACAAGTGATCCTGGCTGTCTGACTCTGAGGCTGACTGAGTCAGCTCATAGGAGGACAAAAAACCTGCTAGGAGAGAAATGGGAGAAAAACATTCTGGGAATGAGGTGATCACCTCATGAATATCTTTCCCCTTGCCTGGTCTAGACAAGTTCCAGGAGGCTGCCCAGGAGAGGGAGTGTCAGGGTGAGTTAAAGACTTGGGACATTATGGATGCAACTTACTTTCAAATGATTCCAAAAATGAAAAAAAATGAATATATGAGCTTGTGTGTGTGTGTGTGTATATATATATATATATTTACACAAACACATAGGCAACTACCTATAAACATATATCGATAAATATATGAATATATGTGCTTATTTGAGACATAGAGAATAGAAACCAGATGGCAAAATGTGAAAGATAAGTGCGTCATAGATACGCTGAGCAGAATCTTCTATACATTTTTTAAAAATATATTTTTAAACTTGCAATTGTATTAAAATGAGATAATAAAGTGAATGAGAGTCTAATATTAGTAGGAGGATGACTAAGTGAGTTCATGGTCACTTCCCCATGACATTGCACCACTGTGGCGAGTGCCACCACTCCTATATTAATAGCAGTAATAATCAGCCTAGTCCTCCATCTGGAGCCCAGAGATGGTCATGGAGACCATGTTGCCAGACTTGGAGCCTGAGAAACTATCAGGGACTCCTGATGCTTGAGAACCGACATCATAAATCAGGAGTTTGGGGGCTGTTCCTGGGTGTTGTTGATACCAGAAGATGTAATCATAACTCCCAACATCACTGCTGCTTCCAGCACAGGAGTTGGTTACAGACTGCCCAGAAGTCATGTACACTGAGGGAGACTGAATCAGGGGAGACTGGGCCCAGGACACTGGAGAGAGGAAAAACACACTGTGGTAAGTCAGTGCTGGGTCCTGGTAAGTCTGAGGAGCAGGAGACAAACGATTAGCTCAGAATGCCCAAGATCCCTTCCCTGGAGGCATCACCTGTGCCCTGAGTGAGGAGGCAGAGGAAATGCAAAGCCCAGGCCATAGAGGAGATGCCCCAAGAACACTGCTTTCTAAACCCCAGCACTGAGCTTTCTTCCCAGACTGGCCTTAGCCTCCCACCCTCAGAGGGGGAAGGAACCTCCACGCAAATAAAATCTTTTCCCCCAACTGCCTCCCTCACCTCACTCTGCCCTGGGATTGGACTCCAGCGATTTTACTTCTCTGCTCTGGGACATCAGGACTAAGCAGATGTGTTAAATCTGATTTCATGTAAATTTTCTGGGTTAGGGCACAGTGAGCCAGGACAGTGTCCAGAACATCAAGTCAGCCTAGAGATATTCTCATTCTTGCTATTACAGGAGTCTGCGCTGTGGAAACTAGAACTTCTTGGTGATGCGAGGATTGAGAGTGAAGACAGGGTACCAGACTGGCTGGAAGAGAGCTATAAGCTCCTTTTCTCAGTGATCTCAAGCAGATCTGAGGCTTCTTTATACCCATCAAACCTTCCAGGTCTCCTCAGTGAGGACAATTCCTTAGGAAGTTCCACCATTGATTACAGCAGAATGTTGAGGCTGAGCCCGAGGCTGAGGCCTGGGGTCATTCATTAGTGCTCATAGCAAAATGTTTCTTGAGGCACCATAGATTGGAATTCTTCTTCATAACATCTGTAGAAGTGTTCAAGGAGAAGCAACTCTTGTGACTTCATGCACACCAGGAAAATCCCCATCAATAATCCTCCCCAAATCCAAGCCTTCACTGCCCCTTGGAGGCCTCTAATGCAGGATCCCAAGCCTCAGAAGACTCTGAGTCACAACTGACACTTCTTTCTCTGTTTCCTTCATCCTTCTTGTTTCTCTTCCTAGTTCTAGTCCATTTCATTCTCCATCCCTGCAGGAAGGAATGTATCCAGTGATAGCATGAGTCCAGAAGCATCAACTCAGCACTTGTGAGCTTGTCCCTGAACAGGCTTCCAACAGGTTGGTGAACACGAGGCAAGTAGTGGCTCATTACTGAAGAAATATTATCCATTAAATGGATTCAATACTGATAAGTGAGTTGGATGAGAAGGCCAGCTGGCTTCTCAAAGGGTTGAAAGTAAAATTACACAAAAGATGGAGAACTCACAAGGCTTATGAAAACTCATGAAGATTAAGAGGTGAATTTTTGTGTTTGAGGATGTGGAGAAAAAATTAGATTCAGGATGGCTCCCTGAGTCCAACTCCAGGGACCTCTCATTAAGCGTGTCTGTGTGTCACACTAAGACAAAAACTTTTCTTTAACCTGTGCTTTTGTGTACATTGAAAACACCACATCTTGGAACTACCCTCTTTCCCGAGTCAAGATTTTGCCTATCCACAGAGAGACACTTGACTTATTGTGCTTTTCCAGATGAAAAGTGTTTGGGGTAAGATTCTAACCACACTGATTGGTTTCTGCCAGATTTGAAGTGGATACGTCCACTTCGGAATTGGACTGGGAGTTCTATGGGTGTGAATGCTACTAGGTAACTATTTTAGTGTCATTGTTTTTATTACATGACAGATATTTCCAACAGCACCAGAAATGTGACCTTGTCCAAGGCTTAGAAGATCTTAGTGGTGATCTCATGGACTAGGATGAGGAAGTGAGTGGTGTGAAGTGATGGTTGTTTGGAATTTGAGATAGAGCTTCATCTGTGTCCTTTAGATATGTATGGGCTATATTATTATTCACAAACTCTAAAAAAAACAAATATAAATATTTTAAATTTGAGATCAAAGTAAAATGTAAATAGATCAATTCCATACTCAGAAATCCCTCAGGGTGATTCTGTAGATTCAGTGGCCTAGATCTTTTTCCTGTGGGGTCACTGTGGAGTTATACCCTGGGAATGTTGCAGGTGTCAGGCAATGCCAGGAAGAAACAAATTTCTGACCTTCAGGAGGAGTCAATTTTTCCTCTGTTTCACATTGTGAGTTCCAGGAGCAAACTCAGGACACCCACTCCAGACTGCAGGAGTCACCAATCTCATGTAAAACTCTCTTGAGAATTTGGGTCCACAGAGAAGACAGGGAATAGAAATCAGAAGCACTGGCTAAATCGGCCTTCGCTGCAGACCAGGCAGCATGGAAATGTGTCAGAATTCACTTTTGTATTGTGTTTTCTGAAATATTTCGGTTTTTTTTCAGTCTAAGAATCTTGTTCCTTGAAATCCATAACCTTGCAGACATGTGTCCACTGGATCATGAGACGGGAAATGTCTCCAAAGGGCCTGGTTCCTGCCTCCATCGGCACTTTTGAAATCACTCATTCAGACGTCACACACGTCTGCAGAGCACAAACTCTAATAAAGTGTAAGCAGAAGGGCGTGTTGTACTCTCAAGTAAGAAGATGGGGAAAAATGTGAACATGCCACCAGACTTTCCACTTCTCACCCATGTGACCACATTGACAAGGTTCACAGAAGAGGTGGGGGTGGTCAACTGAGACTCAGGGCTGGCAATCTCCCTTTCAAAGTCACAGGTTCATTGATCTTCCTGTTCTACCAGCAGACTCATTTGCATGTCTGGGGTGGTGCCTCCTCAGCCTCTGTGTGTCCCTCATGGAGAAGCAGTATCCAGTAGCTCTGATCAGTCTTCCTTTAAACGTCCAGATCTGAGGTGGATTCATCAGTGCACGGTATCCCACTGAGCACTGTGATCAGAGTCAGCAGTACAGAGAGCACATCCTGTGGACACAGTGTGCACAGCTTCACTGCTCTCTCCACGGCCTCACTGTGGGGTGATTGTCCTGCTGCCAACAGGGTGCACTGTCCTTTGTTGGGGACTTTCTGAAAATTTTTCACATGCCTCTGGTGACAAGTGATCTTGGTTGAGAAATACTGGCTCAAGACAGCTGACAGTCAAATGTGAGCAATGGACTCTTAAGTTCACCTGGTGGAACAAGTTAAACAGGCAGAACAGACATTTCTGGAAAGTCAGGGAAGTGTGACCTCAGAACATACAAAGGATCACTGTTTATTAACTCACGAGGGAGTGATTGCTGCATATGGAAAAAATGAAAATGGTGTTTATTGCACTTTTCTTTCCATTTTTAGCATTAGTATGATTTGAAAATTAAACTAATTTTACTTTAATTTCAGAGTATGTGATCTGTTTACTATGGTGAAATAAACACAGTGCAATTATTTTCTTTCAATTACTTTGACTATTAAATACTCCAGCACTCTAACATATCATGGCAGTTGAATCAGATGTGCATGAAGGGGCAGTTTTATTGCAAGCTTTGGTGAGACCCATGCACTCCCAAGAGTGGGAAGTAAACCACAGAAGACTCATGCCTCCATATTAGCTAGAGTGTTTGGGGTTTTGTAGTTTGCAGCATGGTGGGCATCTTCCGCAATGTAAATAACACATTATATCCAAAATTCCCAAGAAGCACAAAGCTTGTAGGGACACACTGGTTTCTAAAAGCAGTATATTTTACACATGGGGATGGAGTTCCAACCCATGTATCAGGTGCTATGAGTGTCACCCATTGTTTCTGGAGTCCAGAGCCAGAAGGCTTTGCAGCAGGTGCAGGTGGTGATGTGACTGTCCTGCTGTTTGGGACATAGAATTCAGAAGGTTCCAAAATGAGAGGTGAATTAGTGAAGGGAATTGTGTTTATTGTAAACCCACAAGAGATTCCCAGTGTAGACCCATGAGTTTTTGAAACAAGTCCTTGTCATCTGCAACACAGAATCATTTTCCTTTGGAAAAATATCATCTGGTATGCTCTTGTATCCTGGCAGATACAGGACATTGGACATCAAGAGATCACACAGTCATAACTGTCAGATCCCCCTAGTCCAGGCAGACCAAGCAGTGACCCACAGGGAGATAGATATGGTCATCTAGGTTGGAGCAGGAGCTGGGCCCAAGGGCTCATTCACCTGCACAGGCAGCTGGCCCACACCCATGCTTTCATCTCTCTTGCACAAGCTCCTCTCCCTGGATTCACACTTATGTCCTGTGGGAGGACCTGGCTTCCTGCACTAGGTGACTCCACAACACCTGTTACCTGGGGGTCCATATCAACTCTGTCCAATGTCAGCATGATGTAGCCTTGTGTGAATTCCAGTATCTAGTCACCACATTCAATATAAAAGATAAGACACGTATATTTTTCTAAACTAATGTTTTATTTAACACAAAATGCCAAAAATGAAATTACCATCATATGTAATCAATATAAAATTGTTTATATTTTACAGGTTTTCTTGGTCTTTGTTATTATTTTTGGAAATTATTTGGTGTTTTTGTGGTTGATGGAGATGTTAATGAGTTTTCTATAGACAAGGGTGGGCTGCAGTGGTTTTCACCAGACAACTTTGACATGCTCTGTTGTGTTTTTGTAACTGATCTCATGGACGTTTCTGTTAGAGTTGGTGAGTAGAGTGATTCTACAGAGTATCTGAAGGAGGGAGGTACACAGCGTCCATTTGTGGCTCATGCTGTGGTTTCATCTGTGTTACCTGTGTCAGGTAATGCTGCTCGACCTGTCCCCGGGTCCCTATATCAGGATCTGACTCTCTGACTCCCCTTTGGCCCCTGGAGGACTTGGGAAGTCAGGATCGATTTTCATTTTGCAGAAATGCAGGGAACAGTCAGATCCAGCTGGGCATTTAGACCTTCACAATGGGAATTTAGGAGAAAAACCAGTGTTTTCTTGTGTATAGTGCCCTCCTTAGGTTCTTGATGGCCCATGTTGGGGCCAGTAGCCATATGGGATGGGGTTCCCTGGGAGCAGACTCTGATGAGAGGACTTGCATGCACAGAGGATCTGAAAGGACAAGAGGGAGGCAACACCAGGCAGAGGAGCACATGTCAAAAATGAGGTTTTTATGATGCTTCAGTATCCATACAGGGAGCTGTGGACCTGAGATTTCTTTAGGGTTACTTAAATTGAGGAAAGGGTCTTGAGATCTCAACCTTAGGCAGTCGTTATGCCAAACATCTCTGAGAAGGAGCAAAAACTTGAGGAAGAAATTTCTGAAACAACAGCACTTCCCAGTGAAGGCTC